TTAGGTTCTGTTAATGCAAGTTTCTAATGGGAGATTAGAAGAGGGGAGAAAAGACTTCTTGTTGCCAGCTTCCGACACCAGCTCCCCCCTCCACCCTGGCTTCAGCCTCCACCTTCTTTCATCCTTCCTAACATCACCATCCCATGTTCCCACAGAGCCACCAGCACCAACCAGCCACATCTTCCTGAGTGGTCTGAGCCTGAGCTGAGCAGTGCACCCCTCAGATATCTGAACATCCACTGTAGGGAGAGCCAGCCAGCTAGGTGAGGTAGCTGCTATGTACCAAATTCCCTGTATTGAATCAGCTCTATTTGAAATACTTAGCATGGCTTCTGTTTTCCAGAATGTCATAGCCTTTTTATACAATTGCAAGCAAAATTTTGCAAATTTTTTAGTATCTTATCTATACCCTCTCCAACTACAAAGGTCATGTTCTTTCTGTGGTTGAATTCAGGACTTGGAGAGGGAAGGGGGTAGGGTTTTAGGCAAATATCAGAGTTCTTTGGTAGTAAGCAACAAATGGACTCCGGCTAACTTAAGCAAAAAGGGAATCTGTGAAAGCATGTGAGGAGCGCACAGAATCAAAGGAGTCAATTTGGAAAGCGTGGGAACCAGAGCCATTCCAGAGATCTAGGATACAGGAACCAATGGATTGTACCTTCAGGGACTGTATCTTCAGGGTGTTTCACCAGCATGAATCTAAGGAAGCCACATTCCAGGAAGGGCGTGGCCCCCTGCAGTCCACCTACCTTTGGGTGCTGGAAAGCGGGACATCTCGATAGACAGTCCTCCCAAACAGTAATCGGTTGAGGAAGAGTAGTTCACCCAAAAGAAATCTATGCTGTTTCCTGGAGAAGAAAGAATGGATGGTGGTCAGCAATTACAAGAAACATACCCTACAGTGCACTTCAAAAGAGATCTTCGGTTATAAATTAAAACGCACTGTATCCAAAAGCTTTGACTAAAAGAACATTGTGCTTGGGGTGGAACACCCAGGGCAATGTTTCTAGGGGAAGTTTCCACAGTTAGGAGGAATAAGCTTTAGTGGTCTAGTGCACGGAATGGTGACTATAATAAATGGTAACATATTGTATATTTCAAAATTGCTAAATGATTAGATTTTAAATGTTTTCACCACAAAAAATAAGCATGGGAGATGATAGATGTGTTAATTAGCTTGATTTAATCATTCTACAATGTAAACATGTATCAAAACATCACGTTGTACCCCATAAATATATATGATTACATTAACTAAAAATAAAATTTAAAAAAAAAGAAGGTTCTGAACGTGAAGACTTCTCATCACTGCTTATGGACTGGGACAAGCCCAGGAAGAGTTTCTTATTCATTATTTTTCGTTTGACAAATATTTATTTACTACGCCCCAGTGAATCTAAGTCCAAGCCTCAGTGATTCTGGTCTAGGTCATTTCCTTTATTCACTGTCACCAATGCGGAGCTTATGTTGCTTAACATTAACAGCTAGCATGGCAGGGTAAGTTGGCCTTTTAGAAATCCAGAAAGACACCCCACAAAGGTTCAATGTCAATGCATTCATAAGTATAAAGCAATGACTTCACTTTACCTAATAAAATAGCATAGTAAATGAAAACAAAGTACAAGTTCAAACAAGTACAGTGTGTTTTCTATTATAATAATTTTCCTTCAACTCCCTCTTGCACAATTGCATTAAACAATATTTTAAGAGAAATTACTTAGAATTCTATCACACTAAGACAACTCTTTTCATTTGTATTACTCTTCTACCATTTATTTTTTTATCTAAAATACATGTTTTTTCCTGTTTATATGAGTAATGTGTGTCCATTGGAGAAAATTTTTTATGAAGATAAAAAATGAAGATATGAAGAATAAAATAACAATCATCCATACACCAGTACCAAGAGACAAAATGGCTCTTAATATTTTAGTTTATTTTCTGCATTCCTAATGATTTGGATGAAAACAATTTGTCCAGAAACAAAATGGGTATTCTTAATGCTCCTCTTTTGCTTGTATAATTTTCAGATTTTTCTGTAATAAGCTTTGTTTTTGTAACAAACAATAAAGGAATGTATAAAAGAGCAGGATCTCTGCGTGTCTTGTTCATCCAGCTATCTCTAGTTCCCAGAACACTGCTTGGCACACATCAAGTACTCCAAAAATGTTTTTTGAATGGCTGAGATTTTCACCCCAAAACTAGTGAGACACAGTTGCTAATGAACATGGAATCACTCTGCAGGTATCTCTGGGTATTATTTCTCTCTCTGATTCCTTTTAGTAAACAGTTCATTCTATCACATACGATCACTTTTGCTGTCTTAATATAAGACTGATTAAATTCAAATTCCAACTCCAACACTTAGTACCTATGTGACCTTGGCAAGAAACTTCACCACTCTTTGCCTGAGCTTCCTCACCTGGTAAGCACTGGTCCAGGTGCTGGGGGCAAAACAAAACAAAGATCCCGTCCTCAAATTTACATTCTAGTGTAGGGAGACAGTCTATGAAGAAACATTTGTCAGGTGGTGATAAGTGCTATGAAAAAAAAAGAAAAAGAAAATAGAGTAAAGGGGATGGGAAGTGATTAACTGTGGAGGCGGATGAGGGTGGGTTGCTATTTTATAACAGGTGGTCAGGGACAACTAAAGGTTTAAAAAATATCCTAGTGTAGTGTTTTTCAAACTTCGAGTTGTGACTAAGTGTGATGGAGGGCGATCTTCATTTTCAAAAAAAAAATGAAATAACATTCATGCTTTGTGTGTGCACTTGTTTGTGCCTTACTCAATTAGTTGAGGCCAAGAGAGACAAAAAGACAACTGCAGAAAAAATGCCAGAAAAGATGAGGACCAGAGCTAAGGGGTTGGGAAGAAAGGCAAAACAAAACTGAAGAGTTAAGCAATGCAAGAGAGAAAACTGGTATCACTGTTTCTTCATGCAAAAAAATTACCTGATGGGAAAAAGACCAAAAAGATTAAAAGAGAGAGAGAGAAAGAAAACAGATTCAATTTAACAACAGAAATAAATCCAAAGATAAAGAAATATGCTGTATGTGATACTTTCAGATTAAGTGTATGATAGTGTCTGAACATTCCCAGAAACTCCCCAAATATATGCTCCATACTTCCTTCTCTGACCCTCAGCGAGGGAGACAGTATAAAGATTTTAAAGCCATATCATCCAGGAAGACTTCTTTTCTCTCAGTTCTTTAACCATTTATTTTAATAGGTTTTGGAAATCATATCTACCTATCAGAAATGAGTAAATTGTACGAAAGAGAGGCAGGAAATCATCTCCCAAGCTTTTTCTTGCTGTACACATAAAGTTCCCATTGAAGCAGAGCTCTAAGACAATTATTCTAGAACATAGTGGGCAAACTACAGTCCTCCTAGCTAAATCGAACCCACCTAGTGTTTCTGTATGGCCCTCGAGCTGAGAATGGTTTTTCCACTTTCAAGTGGTTGAAAAAGATCAAAAGAAGAATATTGTGACCCCTGAAAACTATATGAAGTCCAACTTTCGGTGAGTGTCTACAGTTTTATTGGAACACAGCCAAGTTTATCCCTAGTGTCTGATTGCTTTTGCGCTGCATGGGGCAGAGTCGAGTAGCTAACCCCAAAGTCTAAAATATTTATTCTCTGCCTCCTTTTAGAAAAAGTTTGGCCAACTAGTGTTCTAGAATATGAAGGCTGTACTGGTCAAACACCCTTCCAACCCTCTTCCTTCTCCAGCCACCCCCTCAGCTTTAGTCACTAACAAGATTCCTGGACCTGACATGGAGGGATGGTGTTATAATAATGGATTGTATCCCATCGGACACCAGAGACAAGAGACAGTAAATTTCTATATAAGGGAATGTGACTGGTTCTGCCACTGCCCAGATTAACGTCTGGGTTTGCCTCCCAGTCAGAAAAGTGGGCATCACAGCGGCATCTGCATGATTGCGTCTGAGCATGAAGGCACTTGGAAAGGCATCAAGGCAGCAAATGTTCCGGGGGTGCTTTTGCAAGGGGAGCCTCTCTCAGAGTCTGGACGTAGACTGCGGTTCCTTTTGCACGTAGGCACCTCGGCCACCTCCCCCGACCCCATCCCCTCTACCCCTGGCCTTCATTTTCTTCTCTCCATTCCCCTTTTGGCCTTGCAGCCCGCTTTCTTCTCATTCCTCCCCAACCCTCCCAGTCCCCGACTCCCCCACTCCTTGGGGCAGAGCAAGGCTCAAGTGAGCTGGCCCGGCTCAGCCCAGCTCTCTCCAATTTTGCCTGCTTAGGGTGGGGTCGCCCTGGGACCCCTGCAGGTGAGAAGAATGACTCAGCAGGGGCCCGGGCTGGAATGAGATAGGAACGCCAGTGCAGGAACAAAATCCCCTGCAGCACTAAGAGGCTGCAAACCATCATTTTAAGGACCCAAACATGCAAACTAGAGACAATGTAATTCAAGTTACGTTTGGTCTGTCAGCGGCCTGTGCCACCACAGGCTGCATGTTTAGCCTAACAGGGAGGCCCAGCGGCTTCTGCAGGCAGAAAGCGCCAGCGGCCTCCGCAAAAGTCGCCTTCGCCTCCAACAAACCCCACCGCAGCCCGACGGGGCCCCAGGAAAGGCCAGTTGGCTGGAGTGGAACCTTTCAGGGGTGCAGACAATTGCGTGTCCGTGACTGTCTGGGAGACTTTGAGAGCACAGTAATGTCTCGAGAAAAGGAACCATTTTCCTCTCTTGCTCTGAGATTTTGCTTGGCTAAGCCGTGGCAGCCTCCCTTCCCCCCTCCCACCCACACCGCTGCTGCCGCTTCTAGCAACCACGCCCCGCGGGCCCCAAGGCTGGCCGCCACAGGGCTAGCGGCCCCCGCGCAGGCGGCACGCCGCGCCTCCATTCGCCCCGCCCCCGCGCGCCCCCACCCGCCCCCGCGGCCGGCCCTGGGAGCGCCGAGCGAGCCCTCGCGCCTGCGCCTCGCCAACTTCCTGCCGCGGAACGCCCCGCCTACCTCCAGAGGCCCGCCTCCGAACGCCGCGTGAAACCCGCCCGCCTCACGTCATTGGTCCGGGCGCCGGAGCCGTTGGCTCCCAGGCCCGCCTCTCACTTTTCCCAGAGCTGGTGCGCCTGCGCTCAGCTGCCTGGGCGGGCTGGGAGGCGCGGGTTGAAAAGTCTCGTTCCAAGTTTGGAGAGAGAGAGAAGAGCGCCTCAGACCTCGGTACCCGCGAGCGGGGAGGAGGCAGAAAAGAAGGACGCGGCGCCTGGGGAGCACCCAGGCTGCGAGACGGAGCTCAGGCTTCGAGAATTAGGAGTGTGTGACGTGCCTGGGAAAGGCAGGAGCGCCAGCGGTCGGGCTGCTCTTGGCTAGCGAGGGTAGTCTGAGGCGGCGGCGAGGGGCGAACGACCCGACGCAAGATGGCGAGTAAAGAGAGTAAGAGGCCCTGCGGGGCGGCGCGCGTCGGGACCGCGGGGGGCGGCGGGCGCGCGAGGCCGCGGCACGCGCCGGCGAAAGGCGCGAACTGGCGTGAGGAGCGGGGGGCGGGGCCGGGCGCGAGGCTGGGCGCGCGGCTCGAGGGGCCTGCGCGGGACGGGGCCGCCGCGAGGAGGGCTCAGAGCATTTCCGGAGCCGGGCGCGGGGCCGAGAGCTGGGCCCCCCTCCCCCCTTCCCTCCTCCGGCGGCTGCGTTCCCTCCGGCGCCCTCAGCCCTGGGGCGGAGGCGGGCGCCACCGCTGGGAAGCGAGCACGGCGGCTTCTTCCACGCGCGCGTCGACCGCCTCGGGGTCGCGGCCCTTGTCGGGGTGGGGGGGGCGGGGCGGTGGTTCTGGAGCCCGCCGGCCTATGGCTGCCGATGCGGGTGTCGTGGGAGCTGGGGCCTCTCCTGTCGGGGGATGGAGGGAGCGGGCCTATGGATTTCTGCTGCACGTGGATTTATCTCCCCAAGTGGGTTGTGCAGCCCCTCTACATACAGGTCGTCATCTTAGAACAGGTGCGAACGGCTGTAACGTGCTGGACAATTTCGATGTCGGTGTAATTACCCAATTTGGTATACGCAGGAGGTATTGATCTCGAAGTGGAAAAAATAAGCTTCCTGGTGTTATTTTCTCCACGTTCTGGAAGAACAGTTAGTTGTTGGTGTCCAAATTAGAGGTAAAAGGAAAGAGTGGGTGAGGTGTGGCCATCTTGAGGTGACCTCCAGTATCTGTGTACAAATTCTGACTTGGATTTCTTTTAAACACTTAATCGTATGGGCTTTCTCCAAATTTCAGTGTTTGAAGATACTGTGGAGGAGCGTGTCATCAATGAAGAATATAAAATCTGGAAGAAGAATACCCCGTTTCTGTATGACCTGGTTATGACCCATGCTCTTCAGTGGCCCAGTCTTACCGTTCAGTGGCTTCCTGAAGTGACTAAGTAAGGGTTTCTGGCAAGTTGTATTTTGCTTAAATTTAACTGTCGTTCTGAATTTCCTAGTTTCGGCGTTTTATACATAGAACATAAGTATATAATCAGCCCTTGGATGAGGTGGCAGGTGGTTTTTATTTTCAAAACTTAAGTGATTTGTGAGATGATTTTAGATGTATAAGTGCGATTTTAAAAGGGGAGAAAGTATCTGTTGTGAGATTAATGGCGTTTGGACGAAAAACTGGATGTATTTGACATTTCTTAGGCTTAAATATAGACCACCATCTCTCGGGGCCTCAAGACTAACGCATTTCTTTAAAAATTTTATTGAAAAATAGCACATATACAGAATAGTCAACAAATCGTGATCATATGACTTGATGAATTTTTACAAAAGGAACACACACATTACCAGCACCCAACATGGATACCCTTTAATTGGCAAAGGGAAAGAAAGCTTGGCAACAACTGACCACAGAAAAGGTGGTGTTATTGGCTTATAGTATGGAATACACTTTAAGATTGCTGTCAGTCTTCCTAAGAGTGTTCTTTTTTTCGAGTTCTAAAATTTTTCTGGTAATAGTTGCTAGCATTTATTGAGCATTTAGAACAGGGCCTGACATATCTGAAGAGTTTTACATGCTATTATTTGGCATAATCCTCTTAACAGTACTATGATGTAGGTACTTTTTGTCATCCTTGATAATATCAATGAAGAACCTGGGTTCAAGAGGTTAAATGCCATGCCCAAGATCACACAGCTGGTAAGTGGTGGCTTGGACTTACCAACCCAGACCTGTTGGCTCCAGACTTGAGGCAACCCCTGCATTGTACTACAGTTCTCATACATTTGTACTTTTTCTAATAAGAGCTTGGCCATGTATTCTAAAAGTGTATTAAAGTTGTGTATTGTGGGCATATATAATTTAATGAGGATTAACTTAAACTCTGATGGATTTTACATAAAATTACTCTTATAATGGCCATATTCTTCATATGCAAACATTAACTTCCATACAGGTAAGGACTTCCCTTGGGGTTCCCAAAAATCTAAATGTAAATGTGGAGATGTGGGAAGAGCAGAGAAGAACTAAATGACGGAAACTAAGCATTGACATTTACAATTACCTTTAAACAGATTTACAAATAGAGCATCGTATTGTACGTTTGCCTTTTTGTCTTCTTGTTAAGCAGATTTAAAATGTATTAATTTACGTTTTTTGGGTCTTTTTGATCTATTGTAACATAGTAGAAAAGAGCAGAGGCTTTAGGTTTGAGTCCTGCTCCTGCTTTTTACTAGCTTTGTGAACTAGGGCAGGCGGTTCACTCTCTCCCCAAGTTGTCTGGTCTGTAAATGGAGACGTTGGTAGTGTTGACTGCCTACACTTAAGGGAATTAAGATCATGCATGTTAAGGTGCCTGGTGCAGCATACTTACATAGTAAGTGGTGACTGGTGTTGATTCTCCCATCCCTTCCAGTTCAGAAATCATTCGTTAGGGTTGAAATAGCTCTGTTTTTCTTCATTTAGATTTTGGTGAAAGCTACTTACTGAAGTTTTTAAAAGTGTTATCTATAATATATTTTGTTTAAAGATTTTAAAGATAATAGCTCTATATGCTCTTAGCCCAGATTGCTTTTATATTAACACTTATGAACTTAACAGAAAATGCTTTAATTAAATTATATATCATGGTGTTCTTTGTATGCAAAGAAGTTGTGGGACGTGCAGTGGCTCAGAATGCAAGAAAATGCCAAGCAGCCTGCATTCTTGGATATTGAGGACTGTTCTGTGGTGCTTTGCAGAGTTCCATATGGGATCTGAAGGGACTGTGATTGTGTTTTATCACCATACAGAACAGTAAAAATGTTGGCTATTCTCCCTGCTCCTATTCCACCTCATGCCCTTCTTCTGCCTATATACAACATGCTTCCTAATGAGTACTTGGACTTGTTGAGCTGTTGTCCTTAAATCGAGTTAGGTAATTGTCCAAATAATTGATTTGGCTTTTAAAGTTTTTATTTGGGTATCTCTAAGAAATTGGTTTTTACCCTGGGTATTGCGGCGCATGCCTGTAGTCCCGTCTACTTGGGAGACTGAGGTGAGAGGATCACTTGAGCCTCAGAAGTTCGAGTCGAGCCTGGGCAGCATAGCAACACCTTATCTCTTTAAAAAGAAAGAAAAGAATTGTTTTTTAAAACTGGTAGATATTTATTTCATATCTCTTGTGAAATTTCTTTATTGAGACTAACTTATTCTCTACCTAAAAAGCTTTGTCATTTTTAAAATTCAGACAGTACAAAAGTGTATAGAGTGAAAAATAAGTCCCCCTTCCACATCCCTTACTCTCCTAGTTCCCTTCCCCAGAGTAGAGGCAGTCATTGTTTTTAATTTCTTTTCCATCCTGCCAGCATGTAAAGGTACATACCTGTATCTTCATCTTTTTTTTGTGGTAGGAAGTTCTTCACTTGAGTTTTTCAGTGGAAGTGTATGTTGGAGACTTTTTCCTATCAGCGTGCTTAGATATGCTCAATCTTTTTAAGGGTGCTGTAGAATTTTATTTATGGATATAGTATATAATTTATGTCACCAGCTCCTTACTGATGGATATTTTTGGGGTTTTGGTCTTTTGCTGCTACAAACAGTACTGCTGAGAATAGTCTTCTAATAGGCTGTATGTTTGTGATGGTTCAGTGAATCTCCTAGCAGTGAAGTTACTGGGTCAGAGGATGCTGGTACTGAAAATGGATAGGCTCTTTAGGCTCTATTACCATTTGTACTTCTGCAGCCTTTAGGTGTATCCAGTATTGAAGGAAAATTAGTGTCATATTGATTGGTTCAGAAAAGTAGGCTGTGTTTTAATGATGGAGGTAAAAGGATTTGTAGTAAAAAGAAAAATCCTTATAATGATCAAGTTAAGGGAAAGTAGAATAATTGAATTTGATTCAAGAGGAATTTTTAAGATCTTCTAGTCCATCTTGGGACAGTGCTCCTTAGAAAGGGCCTATGATAAATTGACCTGTCTACCTGTAACTTTTACCTGGGTGGTCTTATTTTCCTGCTTAACTCCACAAAAATCAAGTCACTTTTTTCCTTTTATGTCAGTCCTAACATTGCTCCGTGGTGCCTCCTTTCTCTCAAGCATTCATATTTCTTTTCAAATATTTATTATGAGATATGTTTAAATTCACTTTCTTTTTTTTT